ATATATATATATATATCAATGAGATTGAGTGGATATAAATAGGAGCTGTCTCGTATGTGCCAAAAAGGCCTTCTGCAGTTACCTTGATTCTTATGTTCTTAAGGTCTTCTTATGTTAACTCATTCATCAATACTTACGTGTAACCCTCTCTTTAAGTAATGCAACAATCCAACGCCAATTACTTCACTCGAAAATTTGTTCCGTAAACCTAGAACCGTATTTCTACAAAATGTTTTTTAGTCTAAGCTTATTCACTTTCTATCCATTGTTTCATATTATATTTTGTGCAAGTTTAAAGTCACATTGGCTTAGAGCTCCGTCCTGATATTAATCTCTACACATTGTTCTCACAGAGCCCGGGGCTCCTGTTATCGTGAACACAGCTTCGTATGAAGCTGGCTCAGCGACCCTCACCTGGACACCGCCTGTTGACGCCAATGGAATAATCCTAAATTATAGAATTACATTAAAGAGTGAGGAAGGTTCTACTGGGACTGTGGTCGATGGAACAGTACTGACGACTGTGTTTGAAGACTTGCATCAGTGTGAGAGCTACAGCTTTAGTGTTGCAGCTAGAACTACAGTAGGTTATGGACCGGAGTCTGAAGACAGCAGTGTTTCCATCTCCGGAAACAGTAAGTTTGTCAGGTTGACATTAGTGTCATACCATTATTATAATTAACGTTAATAAGAACTAATTAAGAGCCTTTTAAATATGAACTGATGATATTCTCACATCATATGTCCTGATAAAGTTATCATATTACATACTCTAACGAAATTATCATATCACATGTTCCAATAATTTTCTCACATAAGAGGCACTGATTATTTAACCTATTAATTAGAAAGCTGGACTGAAACACGTTATTTCACCCCACAGTTACCCTGAAGGAGGCCATCTGCAGTGTTGAAGAGAGTAATGCTAAGATGTGCTGGAGTGCCAACTACCCACAGTGCCAAGTGTCATACTATAACGTCACCTGGAATGGCACTGTCAAGTGGTCCGACCAATCAGGTGTGTCCTCGATTGACTGTCTAATTGTTATCTTAAAAAAATAGTAATATATTAGTGAAATTTAACTGTGTTGTCAGGTTGTTATAATTTCATTATGTAGACTGATAACAAAAATTAACATCTTTGTATCAGTGACTGGCAGCGGTGTTTACCTCTGGGCGGGTGCAACTGAGAACTGCTACGTGGTGAATGACTCTGTGCCATTTACGGACTACACCTTGTGTGTCGAGGTGGAAGACCTCACGTCTGAGACCTTCTGCTGCTCCTCGGACACACCAGAGTCTGGTGAGTCACATCTTATTATACCTTGCAGGAACGCACTTCACTTAGTGGAAGGAAAAATGTGGTTTCTTAGATTTCCAACAGCAAAGATAACATTAAATTAGGTTTATTCACAAAATATGAAGTACATAAAGTTGTGAGCTTGTGTATGTAATATAAGAGGGCATGTGAGATGCTTTTACAAGCGTAAATGAGCGTTTTATATGAGTGCTATAGTAAATGTAGCAGTTTCTTCAGAGATGTATTTAACTAAAGAAGTTCTGAAGCTCATTTAACTCAAGGATTTCTTATTTCCTCTCAACACACACACACACACACACACACACACACACACACACACACACACACACACACACACACACACACACACAGAGTGGTACATGGTTGGAACAAGTTAGGTGAGAAGGTGGTGGAGGGCAAAACCGTCAGTAGTTTCAAAGCGTTATATGACAAAGAGTGCTGGGAAGACGGGACACCACGAGCGTAGCTCTCATCCTGTAACTACACTTAGGTAATTACACTTAGGTAATTACACACACACACACACAGAAAAGATATGAAGGATTTAATCAGTAGGAATTCTCTTAATTAGACAACCGATGATTGAAAATAGGGTTCCAAGAGCTTGTAACAGGTTCAACACAGTATTATCATAAGTGAAAAATTAGAGTCTTAAGATATTTTCGAAATTTCAGTGTGTTTATGCACAGTCATATATATATATATATATATATATATATATATATATATATATATATATATATGTCGTACCTAGTAGCCAGAACGCACTTCTCAGTTACTATGCAAGGCCCGATTTGCCTAATAAGCCAAGTTTTCATGATTATTGTTTTTCCACTACCTAACCTATAACCTAACCTAACCTAACTTTTTCGGCTACCTAACCTAACCTATATAAAGATAGGTAGGTTAGGTAGGTAGGGTTGGTTAGGTTCGGTCATATATCTACGTTAATTTTAATTCCAATAAAAAAAATTGACCTCATACATAATGAAATGGGTAGCTTTATCATTTAATAAGAAAAAATTATATATATATATATATATATATATATATATGTCGTACCTATAGCCAGAACGCACTTCTCAGCCTATATTCAAGGCCCGATTTGCCTAATAAGCTAAGTTTTCATGAATTAATGTTTTTTCATTTGTCTCTGATACAGTTCCAGGACCATTTCATAAGAAAAAAAATATAGTAAATATAATAATTCAGGAAAACTCCTGTTGAATAGTAGGCTGTTGAACCTTGAGGTAATACAGACAAGCATCACCGTCAGCTGGAGTGATCCCGTTGATAAGAACGGCATCATTAACGGGTACTTGGTCACGTGGACCAGTAACAACGGTGACACAGGCAACCAATCAGTGGGACTTAGCACCAGTTCATATGAGATCCCAGACCTTGTGGCCTGTGAGACCTACAGTGTGACCGTCCAGGCCAGCACGAGTGCAGGTTGGGGAGATGAAGCTCCTCCAGAGAATGCAACTATTCCAAATTACCGTAAGTAACTCTGGATTACACTTAGACATTTGCATGCTTGCCATGACCATCTTGGCTGCGTATTTTGGCATATATTAATGCTGTATTAATTATGTGACATGTAAATAGTTAGCAGTTTCGGGGAATATGTGATGGATATGTAAAGTATAAAGTGAATTGGTGAATAAATAATATGAAAGTTGTGAGGGATTTCTAGTTGAAAGTTGTTAAAGTCTCTCGCTTTTTTTATTTGTTTGTTTGTTTGTGTGTGTATTTACTATTTGTATTTACTATTTGTGTCTGCAGAATCGAGCTATTAGTTCTGTGTGTGTGTGTGTGTGTGTGTGTGTGTGTGTACTCACCTATTTGTACTCACCTATTTGTGCTTGCGGGGGTTGAGCTTTGGCTCTTTGGTCCCGCCTCTCAACTGTCAATCAACTGGTGTACAGATTCCTGAGCCTACTGGGCTCTATCATATCTACATTTAAAACTGTGTATGGAGTCAGCCTCCACCACATCACTGCCTAATGCATTCCATCCGTTAACTACTCTGACACTGAAAAAGTTCCTTCTAACGTCTCTGTGGCTCATGTGAGTACTCAGTTTCCACCTGTGTCCCCTTGTTCGCGTCCCACCAGTGTTGAATAGTTTATCCTTGTTTACCCGGTCGATTCCTCTGAGGATTTTGTAGGTTGTGATCATGTCTCCCCTTACTCTTCTGTCTTCCAGTGTCGTAAGGTGCATTTCCCGCAGCCTTTCCTCGTAACTCATGCCTCTTAGTTCTGGGACTAGTCTAGTGGCATACCTTTGGGCTTTTTCCAGCTTCGTCTTGTGCTTGACAAGGTACGGGCTCCATGCTGGGCCGCATACTCCAGGATTGGTCTTACATATGTGGTGTACAAGATTCTGAATGATTCCTTACACAGGTTCCTGAACGCTGTTCTGATGTTAGCCAGCCTCGCATATGCCGCAGACGTTATTCTTTTTATGTGGGCTTCAGTGACAGGTTTGGTGTGTGTGTGTGTGTGTGTGTGTGTGTGTGTGTGTGTGTGTGTGTGTGTGTGTGTGTGTGTGTGTGTGTGTGTGTGTGTGTGTGTGTGTGTGTGTGTGTGTGTGTGTGTGTGTGTGTGGTGTGTGTGTGTGTGTGTGTGTGTGTGTGTGTGTGTGTGTGTGTGTGTGTGTAATTTTATACCAATTAACCCGTCAGAAACCTAATGATATTTCACCTGACAGTTCCAGAGTCTGGCCTGAACTGCGTCAACGGGGAGACGCGACAAGTTGAGGTCTCCTGGAGTCTTGTGTCTCCTGAGTGTTCCGTGTCAGAGTTCTTCCTGGCCTGGAACACAAGTGTTCTCTGGTCCAGCAGCTCAAGTTAGTTCTCGTAGTTGCCAGAATTTAATATTAACAGTAATAACAGCAGTAATAGCAGAAGTAACAGCATTAATAGTTGTATTTGATGTTGCAAACTATACATAGAATATCTCTAGTAATTAATGCGGATTAAACCGTTTCACTGAATGCTAACGATTCTATAATAGGAAACAGATATAGGTCGTTATATAGAAGCTTGTTTATACTTCTCTGTGGGGTATAAAATTAAAACACGTTTGATTTACAGGTTCCAACAGCACTCTGCTTGATGGCGATGTCTACAGCACCGTACTAGCAGACCTGCAGCCGTACACAGAGGTCTCTGCGTGCTTGAGCATTCCAGACGATGGTCGGGGTGGCGTGTGCTGCACCTGCATCACTGGCGAGGAAGGTAGGCGTCTCTCCCTCACTACGGGCTCACCATAGCCCGTGCTACTTGCAACTTTTTGTTCCAGGTAGCATCTTTAACAACAACATCCCTCACTCTCTCCTCTCTTAATTATGGATTAAATGCTACATTCGTTGCACAATGGTGAGTTATCAATGGCCCTTGTTTCGTGTTGGGCTTAGGGGCCTTTCAACCACTGGAGGTTTATTAAGGCCACCATAATAGTTTACTGACCCATCTGCAAGTATGAACTCAGTCTATATTCATCGTGAATCATCATAATGTTTGGTGTATATATATCCTTTTATTTCCTTGCGTAAAGTGTTAATACCTGTTGCATTATATTCTTAAGAGTGACAAGGACCTTTTGTAACTGTTAAGGCATCACTGAACTACAACCAAATATTCACTGTCTTGGGGAAATAATAAAATTAAATCAATTTGTTATAAAAGAAGATTATTGTACATTTTATTTGGAAGTCACAGTCTTGAGGGAAAAATTTTTACCATAGCATTCAATATTCAGCCGCAGGTGAGCGTCTGCGAGACGCTGAGCTCTGCTGCTGACTCAGATTATATTATATTAAAAGCTTAATTCATTAGTGATTTAGATAATCTGTTACAGATGTGTCTTGAGAGAACAGGTGTAAAAGATTTTATAAATGATAATTTAAGCAGTGATAGTTATATTGGAAATTATATGGCATAAAATTAGAACAACCAGAATTCAATGAGAAAATAACTAAGTTTTAATTAATTACGCCTTAACAGAAAAGTTCACAACCTCAACATTTTACCTGTGACGGAGCTCTAGTGTTCTATAATGTGATATTACAACCCTTGACTCTCTCACCGTAGTGAACCTTGTTACCAACTACACAACGGATCTTGCAAACATCGACGCCCTCAATGTTAACTTAGCTAATATATATCAATATTATATATACATTTGTCTCTGGTACAGTTCCAGGACCTCCTGTACTGGAGAAGCTTGAGGTAATACAGGCAAGCATCACCGTCAGCTGGAGTGATCCCGTTGATAAGAACGGCGTCATTAACGGGTACTTGGTCACGTGGACCAGTAACAGCGGTGACACAGGCAACCAATCAGTGGGATCAGACAGCAAGACATATGTGATCCCAGACCTTGTGGCCTGTGAGACCTACAGTGTGACCGTCCAGGCCAGCACGAGTGCAGGATGGGGAGATGGAGCTCCTCTAGAGAATGCAACTATTCCAAATTACAGTAAGTACCTCTGGATAACACTTGATTCACTTATTTGTTCTCACATAAGTGAGTACAAATACAATACGTGGTTTGTACTCACCTATTTGCTCACCTATTTGTGCTTGCGGGGGTTGAGCTTTGGCTCTTTGGTCCCGCCTCTTAACCGTCAATCAACTAGTGTACAGATTCCTGAGCCTACTGGGCTCAATCATATTTACATTTGAAACTGTGTATGGAGTCAACCTGCACCTCTTCGCTGCCTAATGCATTCTACCTTTTAACTACTCTGATACTGAAAAAGTTCTTTCTAACGTCCCTGTGGTTCATTTGGGTACTCAGTTTCCACCTGTGTTCCCTTGTTCGCGTACCACCAGTGTTGAATAGTTTATCCTTGTCTACCCTGTCAATACCCCTGAAAATTTTGTAGGTAGTGTCCATGTCTCCCCTTACTCCTCTGTCTTCCAATTTCGTAAGGTGCCATTCCCACAGCCTTTCCTCGTAACTCACGCATCTTAATTCTGGGACTAATCTAGTGGCATACCTCTGAACTTTTTCCAGCTTCGTCTTGTACTTGACAAGGTACGGGCTCCATGCTGGGGCCGCATACTCCAGGAATGGTCTTACATATGTGGTATACAAGATTCTGAATGATTCCTTACACAGGTTCCTGAATGCTGTTCTGATGTTAGCCAGCCTCGCATATGCTGCAGGCGTTATTCTTTTTATTGCTTGTTGCTTTCTGTTGCTTAGGCACTCCCTTATCCATTAGAGTACCTTCCCTTTCACTCCAGCCTGCATCTCCAGCTTTTCCACTAGCCTCTTGTGTGGTACTGTATCAAAGGCTTTCTGGCAATCCTAAAATATGCAGTCTGCCCATCCCTGTGTGTGTGTGTGTGTGTGTGTGTGTGTGTGTGTGTGTGTGTGTGTGTGTGTGTGTGTGTGTGTGTGTGTGTGTGTGTGTGTGTGTGTGTGTGTGTGTGTGTGTGTGTGTGTGTGTGTGTGTGTGTGTGTGTGTGTGTGTGTGTGTTTGCGTGCGTATGATACTGAGTGAATGCGTAATTTTCTTCTAATTAACATAATTCACCAACCTAAAATGTTCTTCACCGGACAGTTCCAGAGTCAGGCATGACCTGCACCAACGAGACCAGAAGAGTAGAGATCTCCTGGCGTCTTGCGTCCCTTGAGTGTCCTGGCACAACCTTTTTCTTGGGCTGGGAGACAAAAGTTCTTTGGTCCACCAGCACAAGTAAGTTTTTCTCATTACCATTCACGGAACGTTTTGATTAATCTCCTTCCTTACAGTAACAAAACTTAACATAGACTACTGAACGGCTGTTTTCTGCACATTGAGTCAAATTACTCCATTTTTATTAGATACTAGCTGTACCCAGCCACGCGTTGCTGTGGCTCAGCAACGCGTGTGCGTTACTGAGCCTCAGTAACGTTTTCCTGTCTCCCAGTCCTCCCCACCATTGCCCCCGCCTCCGTTCCCCCCCTTCCTCCGACCCGTTGTCCTCCCCACCATCTCCCACTCAACCATCTCCTAGTCCTCCATATCATTCCCCACTTCTTCGTCCCCTCGTCCTCCCCACCATCTCCCACTCCCCCGTCCCCTCGTCCTCCCCACCATCCCCCACTACCCCTGTCCCCTCGTCATCCCCACCATCTCCAACTCCCCCGACCCCTCGTCCTCCCCACCATCCCCCACTCCCCCCTCATCCCCACCATCTCCAACCCCCCGTCCCCCCTCCCATTACCCCATTCCCCTGTCCCTCATCCTCCCCACCATCCCCCACTCCCATCCTCTCGTCCTCCCCACCATTCCCCAATCCCTCGAATGATGCATTCCCAAATGATCTGATGATCCCATCAGAAAATTGGGAACATCAAATGATCTGAGTTTCCCATCACTGAAATATAAGAACAGGTAAAAAACAAATGAAAAACAATGAAAAAAAAATAAAAAATAAACTATACTCACGAAATGAACAGTATGGTAAACAACACAGCTCAATTCCAATGCAATGTCACACAAAATAATTAAATCAAAATGAAAATAAATAGAAATCTATGAAAATTCAATTTATCAATGAAATCGGAAACATTGAAATGGAATCGTAACATATTTAGTATAGCGTGTGTTGCTCTTACGTGCAACAGATGGCGCTGTTTCTCAAAAAAAAAAATGTTTTTACCTGTCACAGGTGTGGCATCTATACTTATACTTACGAAATGAACTGTATGGTAAACAACACAGCTCAATTCCAATGCAATGTCACACAAAATAATTAAATCAAAATGAAAATAAATCGAAATCTATGAAAATTCAATTTATCAATGAAATCGGAAACATTGAAATGGAATCATAACATATTTAGTATAGCATGTGTTGCTATTACATGCAACAGATGGCGTTGTTTAAAAAAAAAAACATGTTTTTACCTGTCACAGGTGTGGCATCTATATAGTAGGCATATAAAAACATGCGTGTATTCGAATGGAACGTTGTGTCAAAATTTCAAAGCAATCGGTGAAGAACTTTTGGAGATTACAGCGTGTGTTGCTCTTACGTCCAACAGATGGCGCTGTTTAAAAAAAAAAACATGTTTTTTTTCCTGTCACAGGTGAGGCATGTATATAGTAGGTATATAAAAACACGCGCCTATTCGAATGCAACGTTGTGTCAAAATTTCAAAGCAATCGGTAAAGAGGTTTCGAAGATTTCCCTTACATGAAAGACACATGAAAACATAGTTTTTCAAAAAAAAATGCTATTTTTAGTAGTCACAGACGTGACATCTATATAATATGTATATAAAACCCCGCTCGAATGCGAATGGAACAATGAGTGAAAATTTCAAAGCAATCGTGAAGAACTTTTGGATATTAGCGGTTTTGAACAAACGAACATTTACATTTTTATTTATATAGATAATTTATATTAATTACTTTTTCTTAATAACATTTTGTTAGCCAATTATGTCAGCAAATGCTTAAAATTTGTCTTAGAAAATGAGCGATGTTAAATGCTCTTTAAATTATTCCAATGTTTTGGTTCTCAGTACTCAGCTGACACATGATTCTTTATAGTCACCTTTAGTATCTTTATAAAAACAATTGTTCTTCAGATGTTTTCCAGCTGATGTAATAAAGTGAGATGTTTATACTGAATATGTATTTGCAAAGATACTAAAAATAAAGGTAGGAGAAGAAGAAGAAGAAGTAGTAGTAGAAGTAGAAGTAGTAGTAGTAGTAGTAGTAGTAGTTGTAGTAGTTGTAGTAGTTGTTGTTGTTGTTGTAGCAACAGAAATAGCAGTTGTAGCAGAAATGAACAACTGTATAAACATTGAATATTTCCAATAAAAACATTAAAATACTTTACAGGATGCTAGACATTCACTAATAAAACATACATATATGTCATTTCTAAATTATTTTATGTCACACTTTCCTGTAGGAGTGTAAATAAAACGAGAGACATTTGATTCACAGGTTCCAACGGCACTCTGCTTGGTGGGGATGTCACCAGTGCCGTAATATCAGACCTGCAGCCGTACACAGAGGTCACTGCGTGTCTAAGCATTCCAGATGACCCCCGCGGCAAAGTCTGTTGCACCTGCATTACTGACGAAGAAGGTAGGCGTCTCTGCCTCACTCTCTCCATTGTTAATTATCAGTTAAATGCTACTTTCGTTGCATATGCAAAAGTGAAAGTGATATCGATTATATTGTATTGTGTATATATATTATATACATTTGTCTGTGGTACAGTTCCAGGACCTCCTGTACTGGAGGAGCTTGAGGTAATACAGGCAAGCATCACCGTCAGCTGGAGTGAACCCGTTGATAAGAACGGCGTCATTAACGGGTACTTGGTCACGTGGACCAGTAACAGCGGTGACACAGGCAACCAATCAGTGGGATCAGACAGCAAGACATATGTGATCCCAGACCTTGTGGCCTGTGAGACCTACAGTGTGACCGTCCAGGCCAACACGAGTGCAGGATGGGGAGAAGGAGCTCCTCCAGAGAATATAACTATTGCAAATTACAGTAAGTAACTGTGGTTAACACTTGACATTTGCATGCTTGCCGTGACCATCTTGGCTGTGCATGTTGACATATCATGACGCAGTGAACATTTATTATGTAACTTAAATATATGTTTGCTTTGGGTAGATTTAATGTAAGTCACATTAAGACCATTAATTAATTGGTGGACGACTGGAGCGAAATTTATAAGCAGATTCAAGTAAAATATCATCAGTCCCCTCGCTTGTGTGTGTGTGTGTGTGTCTTGTGGTGTGGGTGGTGTGTGTGTGTGTGTGTGTGTGTGTGGTGTGTGTGTGTGTGTGTGGTGTGTGGTGTGTGTGTGTGTGTGTGTGAGTGTGTGTGTGTGGGTGTGTGTGTGTGTGTGTGTGTGTGTGTGTGTGTGTGTGTGTGTGTGTGGTGTGTGTGGTGTGTGTGTGTGTGTGTGTGTGTTTGTGTGGGTGTGTGTGTGTGTGAGTGTGTGTGTGTGTGGTGAGTGTGTGGGTGTCTATTATATTTGAGCCTCATGATAAGCTTTAGTTGGATCGTTTCTCTAACCGTCGGGTGTCTAAGTATCGATCCCGACCATTTTTCCTCTCTCATATCCAATGTGTTTTTCTCTCTCACACACACACATCTCCAGGATGGAGCCTGTATCAGTTTGTCTAACTCCCAGTTTATATATTTACTACTAGGTGAACAGGATAATCAAGTGAAAGAAACTGCCCATTTCTTATTGTCTCGACAGGGATCGAACCCGGGCCTTTAGGACTATGACCCCCCGAGAGCTGTCCACTCGGCCACGAGGCCGTGTGTGTGAGTGAAACAGTGAGTCTGAATATTTCATATAATTACCATGAGTCAGAAACCTAATGTCCCTCACCGAACAGTTCCAGAGTCTGACCTTCAGTGTACCAACGAGACCCGACAAGTTGAGGTCTCCTGGAGTCTTGCGTCCGAAGAGTGTCCCGTGTCCGGACTCCTCCTGGCCTGGAACACCAGTGTTCTCTGGTCCAGCACCACAAGTAAGTCCTCACTGTTCCCACCATTGCCATACATGCAAATACTAAAAAACACAAATGGATATTCCTTTTTATGGTTTCTCATACATTGGTTTTTAAATACCTTAAAGCACCAGAATTTTGACGTTGTGGTCGACGGTGTCAAATCTTCAGTGGAGAGAAATGTAAGGACAGGTTGATACAATGGCAGGATATTGTTTTTTTTCCAGGAAACACTAGTAACCTGGACAGGAATAACTCTGAAACACTCTTATTAGGGAACCTCAGCCTTTCACGGCATTAATTCCCCATTTTCTCGCTCCCTTTCCTTGAAAGAAAATAAACCTTGACATGAACCAATGGTAAAGCAATTTTCTACACCTTGTCTTAAATCATTCACAAAAATATAGCAAATTGTCAATTTAAAAAGAGCCTTGTTTACACTTTTCTCTGTGTGTGTAAAAATATAACAAGACATGTTCGCCTGCCAGGTTCCTACAGCACTCCGCTTGATGGCTCAGTTACCAGTGCCACTCTATCAGACCTGCAGCCAGATACAGAGGTTTATGCGTGTTTAAGCATTCCAGATGATGTCCACAGTAAGATGTGCTGTAACTGCGTCACTCCAGAAGAAGGTAGGAACTGTCCCTAACTCTCAACTATCTCTTAAATACCTTAATTATACAGACTGCAAGTCAGTTTGGTTAAAATGGAAAAAATCTCTGTTTTCGAGATTGGTGACATTTTCTTATAATATAATTAAATTTATTCCTTCAAATAAGTGCAATCACTGTCAAATACGCTCACCATTATCACTCGAGCATAATATTTTAAATATCTCCGTTATTTTTCAAACTGGTGGTCCGTTTGGGTAAAACGCGAAATATATCCGGTTTTCCTTATGATCAAATTTCCTTATAAAACGCCTAAATTTACAGATAAATGAACAAATCTTCAAACATGTGCAATCACCTTCCGTGGCGCTGAGACCAATAACACCCAAACATTACGTATTAAATGCTACATTCCTACACAAAGGTGAAAGAGCTATCGAGCGCCTTTTTTTCTTTTTTTTCAGGAATATTCCTGCACGGGCCCTAAGCCTCTGGCTGGCCCACTAAGTGTTGCTTGTTTCTGTTTTACTTGGGCGGAGTATGAGTATTTATGACTCGTATGGTCGCTTCACTAAGATTTTGCCATGCTCTGTTGAATCAAAGTTGAAATCTTAATGTGTTTGTAACTGTGCACTGTGTAAGATAACGTTCCAGTGGTCTGTCGGGCATTTCTCCACAGTGTTGACATTTCCTCTTATCTTCCGGAACCTGTACAAGCGCCCTTGACTTGGTGTTGGACTCAGGGGCCGCTGGAGCGTTATTAAGACCATTTTCTCTCTGACACAGCTCCAGGACCTCCGGTACTGGAGAACCTTGTGATAGACTTGACAAGCATCACCGTCAGCTGGAGTGAGCCCGTTGATAAGAACGGCATCATTGACGGGTACTTGGTCACGTGGACCAGTAACAACGGTGTCACAGGCAACCAATTAGTGGGGTCAGAGAGCAGGACATACGTGATCCAAGACCTCGCTCCATGTTACACCTACAGTGTGACCGTCCAGGCCCACACAGGTGCAGGATGGGGAATTCAATCATCTCCACAGAATGCAGCTGTTCTAAATTACCGTAAGTATCTGCTAACAGCACTCTGAAATATTGATATTTTTACTAAAACATTGATTTATTTATTCAAATATTTATTCTCTTACTAAATCATCTTCTGTATTGAATATATTTGTTTATCTACCCTCAATCTTGCAAGAGTTAGGCACTCTGCGGGTGCGGGGTTGCATCCTGAGGTGAGTCAACAGGTCGACCTGGGAGGGGGGGGGATACAAGCATGAAGTATACATATCTGTATATGTAAAAACGATCAATAATTGCTGATCAATTACAGAATGAACTTCATTTGAAAGACGGGAATATTAGAATATTTTCCATTCAATATTTTTTTTTTGAAAATTACAATACTTTTCTCTTGTGAAATGATAGAGCGTTCCATAACATATATATATATATATATATATATATATATATATATATATATATATATATATATATATATATATATATATATATATATATATATATATATGATTTTTTTTTATAATTAAAACTAAAAGAAATTTTATAAAACCTAACCTTCCTAACTTCCTAAAATAACTAAGTCAGTAATTAATGTTCTTATTGTAAAAACATGGAAAATATTAAATGGAAAATATTTAAATTTTTCCATATTTCAAATGTGGTTCATTCTGTATCTAAATTGATCAGCGATTATTGATCGTTTTTGCATATACAGATATGTATACTGCATGCTTGTATCGAGCCCCCCCCCCCCCCGCAAGGTCGACCTGTTGACTCTCCTCAGGATGCAACCCCCCACAAGAGTGCCTAACTACCGGGCACCTATTTACTGCTAGGTAAACAGAGGCATTAGGTGAAAGGGAAACGTGGCCAGCTACTTCTGTCTCGTCTGGGAATAATATATGATTGAGTAAAGAACGAACCCCACTGTCTGTGTAATATAATCCTACGATGAACCGCACATGTGCTAATGGTCTTCGTCGGACAGTTCCAGAATCTAGTCTACACTGCGTCAACACGTCAGCCCGACAAGTTGACGTCTCGTGGAGTCTTGCGTCCCCTGACTGCTCTGTGTCACAGTTCCTCGTGGCCTGGGAACAAACAGTTCTCTGGAACAGCAACAAAAGTAGTAAGTTCTCAACACTGTTGTTATAGCACACCCACGCACACCCTCCCCATCTCCACCCACGCACACCCTCCCCATCTCCACCCACGCACACCCTCCCCATCTCCACCCACGCACACCCTCCCCATCTCCACCCACGCACACCCTCCCCATCTCCCCATATACCCAAGATCTCTTGTCTTTTTATTACCAATGTAATTGTTTTAGCACATTTGTCTTTAACTTCAAAAACTTGTAAAAGTTACACTTTATTTATTTAGATTAATTATATATCTTGAAGTTATTTCATTAGGACATGTTAATAATCAAATCCACAAGGGCTGTGATGAGGGTTCAAACCTACGTCCAAGAGGGTCCGAGAGGATCCCAGACGCGCCTTAATCGCGTCTGGGATTCAGGTTGTGGCACAGTCGATTAAGGCGCGTCTAGGATCCTCTCGGGCTTAGGTTCGAACCCTCATTACGGCCCTTGTGGATTTGTTCGTTTGATGCATCACGCTTTTGTGATTTCTGTGTGTACATGTTATTAATTTTGCCACAGCTTATCTATAACTAGGAACCTGTATTGACCAAGCAAGCTTGAGAGACTCTTAAGTGTGCTCTCCTTGTTTCTGCGCCCCCGTCCAGTTCTTTCTCCTCCCAGTCTATCTTTCCATAGTTGAAGTCTCTCATGATTAGAAGTCGCGATCGATTCGTTGTAGACGAGAGTGGCTGAATTTTCTATTACGGTTATAATTGCTGTGTTATTTCTGTCACATATTTCTGTCTGGCTCTACTGTCATTTATTGGAGGGTTATATATCCCTATAATTTACAATATCGGACCCTGCCATTATTATGGTGTCTGTTATGTAGGGTCTATGAACCCTTCACAGCCCGGGATATCCATCACATGGTTTCTTGATATCTTCCACCATTCACGTTACACATTGAAACATTCCCCATTGTTTTGCTTCCACAGCTTAGTCACATGACCTTGCCATCCACTATTGAAGATCTTTCCCTGAACCCTGAATCAAAGTAATACACATCTTTGATGATTATATTATTTCTGAGCTCTGTACTCCAATAGTTTTCAAATATGAAGCACTTGACGTACACTACAGAACACTTAATAATTCTTGCCTTCTCAAGTTTGTGTTTTCATTCTTTAGGTTGTGTCTTCAGTTTTAAGTTTGTCTGCATTCTTAATTTTGTGTATACATTCTTAAGTTTGTCTTCATTCTTAATTTTGTGTATACATTCTTAAGTTTGTCTTCATTCTTAATTTTGTGACTACATTCTTAAGTTTTCTTTATTCTTAATTTTTTGTCTACATTCCGAAGTTTACATATTTTTCCCAGTGGACACAATAACCAAGACCAACGCAGAATCAACGCCATCAACCTTGGCGATGGATCGACGTTGAATCACTCTTGGGTAATGTGCCCACTGGGTTAAGTTTGTGTGCACATTCTTCCTTGTGTATTAACAGGTTTCAGCAGCTCAGTGATTGCTGGGGATGCCGAAGGGGTTGTGCTGACTGAACTTTACCCATACACGGAGGTGTATACCGTTGTAATGATTATGGATGAGCAGGGAGTCAGCGTCAGTTGTACCACCACCACGGATCAGGATGGTGAGTATTCTCTCTATTATCATATCCTGCGAATTACGTTACTGCTTCAGAAATGCTTGTGACATATTTTTCCATTGGCTAAAATTGGTTGCTTATCGTCCATAGGTATTCGTATTATTGTTAGAGTAGATGTTAATATTAGCGAAATCGGTGGAAAGATGCTGGTCAAGTCCCCAAAATATATTCTCTGAAGAGGTCCCCTGGTCAAGTCCCCAAAATATATTCTCTGAAGAGGTCCCCACCATGGCGCACCCTGAGCACTTCAGGTGCAAACTTTGCCAGCAGCAAGTGTGTCATGATCTCACGAACTACATTACTGAATATTCAGTCATTAAACCCTTCAGCCCTGCCGGTACCTGGAGCTGTGCAATCACCTCATTAACTCTCGTGTTCGTGAGAATATCCTCATAATGTATGCAAAGTTTGCCAGTGAAGACTACTGATCACATGGCCCCAGTGAGATTTTTTAATATCACATAGCTAGCTAGTTACAGAGTGTGTGTATTACATACACACACTATATAACCCTTTATATAGAGTAGCGTACCTGCATAAATGCAGATATACCTGTGTTAAAAATGATTTTTGGTGCTGGGGTCGACCCTATGAACTGGGTCACGACCTGGGTCTTGACCCGAGCACCTGATTTATATTTAAAATGTTCATTTTGTCTCTGGTGCAGTTCCAGGACCTCCTGAACTGGAGAACCTCGAGGTAAAGGAGACAAACATCACCGTCAGCTGGAGTGAACCTGTTGATAAGAACGGCATCATTGACGGGTACTTGGTCACGTGGACCAGTAACAGCAATGACACAGAGAGCCAAGCAGTGGGACAAAGCACCAATTCATATGAGATCCCAGACCTTCAGCTATGTGAGACCTACAGTGTGACCGTCCAGGCCAACACGAGTGCAGGATGGGGAGATGGAGCTCCTCCAGAGATTGCAACTATTCCAAATTACAGTAAGTAACTCTGGATAACACTTGACATTGGCTTGTGTGTGTGTGTGTGTGTGTGTGTGTGTGTGTGTGTGTGTGTGTGTGTGTGTGTGTGTGTGTGTGTGTGTGTGTGTGTGTGTGTGTGTGTGTGTGTGTGTGTGTGTGTGTGTGTGTGAAATAGTGAGTCTGAAATATTCATATAATTACCATGAGTCAGAAACCTAATGTCCCTCACCGAACAGTTCCAGAGTCTGACCTTCAGTGCACCAACGAGACCCGACAAGTTGAGGTCTCCTGGAGTCTTGCGTCCGAAGAGTGTCCCGTGTCCGGACTCCTCCTGGCCTGGAACACCAGTGTTCTCTGGTCCAGCACCACAAGTAAGTCCTCACTATTGCCACACCTGTGGTACATGCTCTATAATAACTCATGACGATTATTTCTTAGTTTTACACTAATTATTAAGGTCAAAATGGTCCCACCGTTCCGGTCAGCTTATCCCTGAATTCCGATGTAAATTATATTAATGATAAGACTATATAAATATATTTATATATATATATATATATATATATATATATATATATATATATATATATATATATATATATATATATATATATATATATATATATATATTATATTCCACCTTGGATTTCCCAAGAACTTCACCGTTCACAAAAATTTTGATTCATTATAATTGTTTAGATTCCGTTGTTCACACGAACACAAACCTTGTCACTTACTAATGAAGAACTGTTCTCTGAACATTGTGTCAAGTTTATTCATTTTTTTCTTAATTACAGTTGGTAGATTTCTTAAATATGATGGTTTCTAAATAGGTACATTATGGTCCATCAGCATAAATTATATGATAAATGCCTTCCATAGCCCTTGACCGTCAATGGTCGCGGTTGATTATAAGAGGAGAGAAGGGAGTATGAACTAGTTGGTGAAGAGTTTGTAATGGTAGTATTTATAGCACTGGCAGTAGTAATAGTATAAATAGTTAGAGTAGAAGTAGAAGTAGTTGCTGTTGTAGTAGTGGTCGAAGTATTAGTAGTAGAAATTGTCATTGTAGAATAATAGAAGTCTATAATTGTATAAACATGGAGTATATTGTATAACTAATAGATCACCTGTTGTCACACACAATTGTGTGTGTGATGGAAATACAGCTGTATGTCATCCTTGTAACACTGTGTTTACTTCCCCGTACACAAGAGTACACTGACAGGTGTTTGTTACACAGGTTCCAACACCACATCGCTGGATGGGGAGGAGACCACTGTTGTACTCTCTGACCTGCTCCCATACACCATGGTTTTTGCATGTTTAAGCATTAATAATACTAATGCTGA